GACACTGTACGAATTAGATGGTTCCAAAAGGAAAGCTCTAGAAACATCTTTGTCCACGCCACGTCAGCGCATCCTAGAGCTCTAAAGCCTTCCCTCATCAACAATGTGTGCAAAACTGCTGCAGAGTTCCGTATGGGCGAAAAGGAACGGCTAGAGTCGCAAAAACTGGCGTCTGAAATTGCTGATGGATACGGAAGTAAGCGGTCAAGGCAAAGATCAGCTAGACACGTAAGCGAAACATGCGTAGCAACGACTACACAATTATCTTTGCATTCTCTTTGTGTCCGACAGTTTCGATGAGGCGATCAAACGATGCATGAAACGAGCGCAGTTAGAGAATGACGTGATGCTAATCAGCATTCTTAACGATAGTTTCCACAAGCGGTTGATCAAAAACAGAATGTACGATACTGAATGCATGTCAGAAAACTGCATTGCCTGTCCATACGGAAGGCTAGGTGATTGTGCAAAGAGGGTATCGTTTACCAGTTAGAGTGCCTGAGCTGTGAAACAACATAGTACGTGAGACCGGGAGGACATTAGGTGTTAGAATAAAGGGAGATTGGCCGATAAAAGGCGAAGGACAATGTCATCTCCGTGAAGGCACATAATGGTGACGATTTAATGTAAAGTGCACGTTATTAGCGTGTGAGAGCGAAATCTCAGCACGCAAAACATTGGAGGCTGCGTGGATATCTGCCGGAAATCCGTGAAATATTAACAGAAATGCATGCTCAGCGATGACAAATGACCTTTTACCTTATATATCATTGTGTTAACTTCAACCGTGAACTATAAATGTCCGTGACTCACTGAGCAGCCTTTAGTGATCGCGGACCACTAACTTCACGGTGAATTGAGGTTTGGTGTCTACCACTTCGTATTTGTTCCCATGTTGTACAAGACAAGGTTTGAAGGCCGCAAGTTAGAAGAGGCGCTTGGTCGTGTGAACTGAAAAGTAAGAAACTGCAATTCCTTTTCAGGCCTCCGAAGAAGACGATACCTGTTGAAACGTTAGGCAACATCCACCATAAAAACCTGTTTGACGCATTATCATCTACAAAGTCAACGTAATGCCTAGGTTCAAAGAAGAGAGCCCATGGAAACTTTCAAGTTTTCTAAAAAGCTTGCACCAGGGTTTTTAGCGCGTAAATTCGTTACTCAATTTCTTGCCTGTTTGTAAAGCTTTTTGTAGGTATAATCAAATTTTAGCATTTGAAATCAGGTATGCGATTTACTTGATATAACTTGTGAACGAAGTACTGCGGTAAAGTGCAGATGTACTTGGCTTAAGCGGCTTTTAATAACTTAATGTGAGAAATTTCAAATTGTTTGGTCTGCTTTCTAAGGAGGCCGAAGCCCTAAGTTGCTCAAAACTCTTCTTGAGTTTCGTAATGTAATCCTCGGTAATAAGAAGCGAAGGATAATCCTTTCCATACCTTGGATCTAAATTGAAGCCTGCTCTACTGAATGGTACTTGGACCCAAGCAGAAAGCTTTGTGAGTGTGTTATTAAAGCCATTGGATAGGCAAAATAGACCCCTGTCAGATTTTGGTAGTTTTGGGTATTAACCTCCCAGTACATCGTAGCCCCAATCCCACCCTCCAAGTCAAGCGCTAAGTTTTGAAAAAAACGCTTTAAAGCTCTACCAGCCCCACCCACTTCCACTGAGTGGACGTCATTGGTAGAATTTTGATGCGCTTTTTTCAGGACTTAGCGCATGAATTGAAAGGGAGGAGCTACGGTGTACTTGGGGTCTACTGCCCGAAGCTACCAAAATCTGACTGAGGTCCATTTTGCCTGTCTACTGCCTTTAAGATTGAGAGATGCGTCATACTTTTGGGACTTCCTGTATGCTTGATGTGTAATATGTACACTTGAGCAAAGTAGAAAATTTGTAGGATTAATTTGGACGAGGTTACAATCTTTTTGAATTTTTTACTTGGATCATTTTGGTTTTTGGCTTCAGACTCAAGGTGTATCAAAGTTGGTGCACAAAACAAGAAAGCCATATAGTAGAGTCTGTTTTGCCCTAACAAATGGTACTTCGGCCGCATGACTTAATGCGGTAGAAGTCGGAGTAAACGGAACTTATGACAACTTGATAACTACCACGATGGGTTGGATAGATACAGTCAGCACAAGTATTAACAAAGAACGAAAAAAGTTATTTTATGCTTTTTTTAGATTTTCCTCATATGACTATCACGCAAGTTCTCACTGATTTTCTTACTTTCTCGAGATCCTTTCAAATTTGTTTTGAAATGGTGTTTTAATTTTGTCCTTAGTTGAGCTTGAACAGGGAATGTCGAGCTTTTGATTCACATCAACTTGTGAACTCGTCTCAAGTAAAAAAGGCGAACAAATCTTAGCGCTTTTTGAAACGGGTATGACCATCTAAAAATTATCTCAATCATCCCTCGCAGAAATCGTTCCAATTTTTGTCAGAAAGCGTTCAATTCGCTTATAGCGAATAACCGAGATGCAATTCAGTCACCTGACAGTTAGTGTGGAAACGTGTGGTTACTCTGAAGAAATTTAAAAAATCTAGCAAAGTTTTTGTAATTTTTGCAGGGAAGGAGCTGAACATATTGTGTGTTACTTCTATACGTTCATAACTTACTTTGCCTGAATCTACATTATGCTGTAGAACATTCAAGCGGTAGTGCACAATAATGAACAAAAGGGTATTGTTCAAGCGGTAATGCGCGACATAATTAAGCGATGAAAAAGTTTAAAAAATCCAGCAAAGTTTTTGTAATTTTTGCAGGGAAGGAGTTAAACATATTGTGTTATTTTCTACACGTTCATGACTTACTTTGCCTGAAACTCCATTATGCTGTAGAATTCAAGCGGTAATGCACAATAACGATTAGAAGGATATTGTTCAAGCAGTAATGCGCGACATAATTGAGCGAGGGTTTACAAGAAAGCCAAGCATATGAGCGGAAAGTCAGCCAAGCACAGTTGATCGTATGGCCAATCCTTAGCCTTGCATCTCTCCCTGCACTGCAAGTATTATTATTTACCAACCGCTCTCTGCCGCTACGCGGCAGGTTCGGCTGGTACTGCAGCTTCGCTGCCTCATCTTTCGTTCCACTCTGTACTGTGCAAAGGCAAGAATTTGATTGAATTTTTTAGATTGCGCAAAACACTTAAACTTATGTAGATTGAGGATGCTGAGCACACAATTTTGGTTTCTCAATTAGATTTGACTTAATATTCTAAGTAACAGAAATGCGCAGTCAACAATATAGAAGGAGTGGACGTGCTCCATGCTGTAAGGGCTGTGAGGGTGAAGCATTTAAAGTAGATACAGTAAGTAAAAGCGTAGACATGCGTAGACATATATCAGTCAGCTATTGAGGATGTTAGATACCAAAAATCAATGAATAGATGGAAGATGTCAATATTGAAGTAACAGATATTGTGTTCGTAATAACCATGCCTACCTATCTTATCCTTCCCACCAATTTTTTGTCCCAAATGCGTAAAGGAAGAAGAATTAGTAAATTAATTCATCCTATATCAATGAGAATAGCTTATTAACAAAAGACCCGTTCAAAAGCTTATGTATGCGAAGTTTGGTTCAGATCCCATAATTCTTTTCTAGCCTGTGCCAGCCATAACGATACTGCTAAGCAAAAAACTCCGAAAGTCAATGAATCAAAAGCGACAGTAATTACATCTAATAAAAGCATAGTGATTCCTGCCCGCACTGAAGCTCATTATGCGAAGTTCTACACCCATAATTTTTGAGCATTTTGGGCCGGGAAAATTTTTTAACCAAAAACTCAATAACTAGATGAAATTAATCGGTATCTTCTAAACAAAATAGCTTATAAACACACGCCTCGCATCATTCAAACGCGTAAATAAATTGGGCTACATTCCCTCGTCTAGCTATATGGTGAAATTGGATTAAATTTGCCGATAAGACACTTTCCTTTGAAGCCGAATGTCAATAAAAACAATAGAAACGCGCAGCAATTGCCGCAAAAGATAGGCTATGCTACCCTTCAATGCTCAGAACGCATGCGCCTTTTCTCCTTCGTAACTCCTTCTATCTCTGGCGAACATACACAATTTTCTAAGCAAAAACTGCAAAGAATTAAATCGATAGAGTCAAACGGAATTAGAAGGAGTCATGGTCCGGAACAAAATGGCTTATTAACAGACGCCTCACTACATACATTACGTCTGCCAAATTTGATACAAATTCCATGACTCCTTCTAATTCTTAAGCGAACATACAAGAAGCGGCTGAGCAAATAATATATAGTACTAGCTGGCTTGCCCGGCTCCGCCCAGCCCTGTCAAAAACTATGATAAAGCTCCCATCCCTATCACTGTACAACCTTTCCCTGTGCCCGATTCTACATCAACTCCCTATTCCCGCTGTGTTAGTTATCAGCATGCTCACTTATGCCTTTGCCAGCTACCAGCCCCGTAGCTCAAACTTTGCAGAAAAAATCGATAAAAATCGATAAAATCGGTATCGATCGATGACGAAAATTAGCCTATGACCACCCGTCCGGCCCCGAAGTGTATGTGCCAAGTGTGTGTGCCAAGTTTGGTCCGGATCGGTTCAGAAATGGAATTTTCTATTCGAAACATACGTACACATACATACATACATACAGACAGACAGATATACAGGCAAACAGACATTTAGCTTTATAAATAAGATTGATTATTGACACACGCCTCACCCCATGCATTATGTCTGCCAAATTTGGTTCAAATTCCATAACTCCTTTTATCATTCTTGGGAGAACATATAAAAAGCGGCTAAGCCAAGTATTATATGGTATTGATTGAAAAGAGGAAACCGGCACAACACGTGGAGCTCGTTTTTTTTGCAGCCTGTTCAACTAATTGGCATGTATCGACAAATCTCAGTCCTTTAACGATCCTTTCACCAACTGCTAGAGCGCCGAGAAACAAATACCCCTTCATTGCCATTCAATATATTCGTGTTAAGAAACACTTCACTTTACCTCCTCAAACTCCTTTTTGGGACATTTTTTCACACAATCAGCCTTGCTTATAAAATCATTCTCTTTTGCATTACAGTTGAAAAAGCACTGTAAGGAGTGTTTGAGTACATATTTGTAAGCACAAGGCTTAATAACCTTGAACACCTGTGCCGAGACATCAACAAGCAGAATGGAGAGAATGAAGTATGTTTCTAGTGATAGCATCATGAGAAGCTTGACAGAATCTGAAACTAATAATTATACATTTACAAAAGAAACTGAACAAGAGACGACTGAATAGTGCCACTGACAGCCACTTAAATAGATTCCGTGAATTTTGGGAATGTCATTTCATTTATCATTCAGCAGCGTTGTTACAATTTCCTACATCTTTCGTTGTCCCTCTATCTCACCGCCTTCATGACTTCCACAACAACGCTGCAAGAATTTAGTATCAAGAGATGCCGACGGCATTGTTCTGGAATCACATTGGCCTATCTCACGTTGATGTTTAATTTTTCCTCAAAAAGAGATACAACAAAGTGATGTAATTGTTTATAAATTTCATGCGTGAGTGTATAATATCTGTCAAATATACAAATCATTCACAAATTTGCGTTGACCTTGATTGTTTGGAGCTTTGCTCATCTGTACATCGCTCACTCATATTGCTTTGCACATGTCTTTTCCATATATGTGTTGGAGAGTAACATTTGTTGTTTTGTTTTGTGTTGTTATTCTTGTGATCTCTAGGATCTATTGGTGTTGTATTGACCTATGCGCGGGATCTGAGCGCTATATAAGACGCTCCCTGCTAGAAGTCATTTCGTTTGTTCGTCTCGTCTTATCATCTGTTCGCATTCATATCCAGTCTAATAATAAATCTACTATTCTTCAAGTGTCCCGACCCACCATAAGCACAAGTACAAGTGCAAGTAGAATACTACAACAATATGGAAAGCCAATATTACAGGATGTGAAGTAGGTACACACATTTCAATCGTTAATATCTCTCTTCCCATTGAGTCTTTTCCCGCAATCAAGTGCCAGTCTGTAGAAGAGGCTTCAATATAGGTTACGGTAACAAGCAAATCACCGATCTTTCCCGTTACTGTAGGATTACGGTAAGAACTTCTAGCAAGTGGATCGGTTGTGATATATGCCATTTGACAAATTTTTTTCAAAAATCTGAAAAATTGTGTACTAGGGTTTTCGTCCACTACACAACTTTCAAAAGTGTTTTTAGTTTTTTTGACGGTGTGATCACATTTCTGACAAATGCTGAAAACTCAGTTATTACGGTTTTCCGGGATAACTTTGAAAAGATGCATCACGGTCAAAGTGGAAATTTCAAAATCGAAATCAGCGGCTTCCATTACCATAGTGTAAAAGTTCTAGGATTGTTTGGGATGGTTTCGAGGCAAATGGCCTCCATTAGCCTAAAATCCTGGTCGAAGTTCCCACGGTGATCCTACAGAAACGAAGAGCGGTCAGTGATTCGCTCGATACTACTAGGTTGATGCATAATTCCTGCACCAAATAGGTACAGACCGCAATAATCTGGAATAATCCTATATCCCAAAAGGATTCGATATATCATTAGATAGAGTAAAACTAACAAGATAGTGCCCAAATATCTGCACCAGCTTTCAACTATGCGAAATTTGGAGCCGAAAATAAAAAAAACTTGGCGGCTTTTCAAGGTGCAAGTTTTCGCTCCAGGACCAGCAATTCGCAACTCGGGTTTTTGATTTTTGATGCGTCCTTTAAATTTTACCCCCGCATTGACGTTCCTGTTTCCTGGGACGTTGTCTAGATTGCTGCGCTTATTGTTCTGAGCAACAATCGCCCAAGTTGGAAAAAAATCGATGCGAAAGCACTGAAACAGAACAGGGTAGAGAAAAACACACCTTTTACGATTTTTTTGCAAAAAATTCGACCATAATCGAAGAGATAAGGGCTGGGTGGTTGTCTGCATTATGAACGGAAGCAAGATCTATAAAATGTACGAAAGAACCGCGTGAAAAGAGTCAAACTAGGAGAAAAACTAGAGAATTTCGAAGACAAGGTTTGTGCCGGTTTTCTTTATCAAATCAAAGAATGTGGTATTGGGCCGTTGTCAGCGTGAAAACAAAGATCAAGAGGTTCAAAATGATATATAGCTTGCAAAATTTGAGTTCGAAACAGCGAAGAAAAGGGTACCAGAGCCAAATGCCCCGCGCCCCGCGTTTGGGGTAGCGAGGTAGCGCGCAGCGCGCTGAGACGCAGACGAGCAGCGGAGACAGACCGGAGCCGACAGGGCATTTGGCTCTGGTCGTAGATCTCCGCGGTGTCTCAACGAAACCCTGCAACATTTTACATCATTCTGATCGTCATGAAACGACGAGGACTGAGGAGAAAAGGAAATAAACCAGCGTTTTCGTGCGCGATTCTCTGCGCCGCAGTTTCTCGTTATTATTCAACCCCAATAGCTTTCCTAAACTTCTAAAATTCTATTTTGGTCAAATGAGAGGTTACCTGAGAAATTCTGTCCTGAATTCTGGCAGAAATTCCACAGAAACCTTCTATTTAACGTAAAAAAAGCTATGTAAACGCAAATTCTCGGTTTTGCTGAAAGCTAAAGATATAATTCCCTATATTTGCTTCATTAACATACTTTCCGATATAGCCAAAATAATAACATCCAGCCCCGGATGACTTCTGTTTTTTTTCCAGGTGAAGGTTGTGTCCCCTCATAGCCCTCAAAGTGAAGGTTATTAGAGTAAGTGGCTCTATGTATCGAGGGTATGGCTGCTAGTTGACGAAAAATGACGAATCTAGCTCTCCTTATCCGAATTTTTTTGCCTAGTTGCTAAAAATTCGATATTTCTCGTAAGCCAGCTGCTGTAAAGAGCTGAAAATTCACACTTACTCTTCTAAGGTCCTATGGAATACAATTGTGAGTGCTAGAATATCTCAGCATGGTTTTGGAAAAAACATGAAAAACTTGTTTTTTCAATTTCTAGCTGAGAGAAAAATACAGCAACGGCATAGAGAAATGTCTTGTACGAAATGACAATGCATGAACAGTTAGGAATTTTGAAGGATTTTTCTGAACGGACTTCCAATTTTTTTCTTGGTTTTTTGAGGCGCTTGGATCTTTTTCGCTTTTGGCTTCAATCTTCGCTTGGATCAAAGCTGCTGCAAATCTTTAAGCACTATCTTGTAGAGCTAGATTTGCTCTATCTAATGATTTATCAAATCATTTTTGCAAATACGGGTATTGCGGATTATTGCGGTCTGTACCTATTTTGGTGCAGGAACTATGCATCAACCTAATACAAATCTAAGCTAAAGTTTCCACTAAAAAATGATAAATACTTGAATGGTGGAAAAAGACCCAATGGGAAGAGAGATATCAACGATTGAAAAGTATGCACTTACTTTGAGACACCGTGTAAAATGTCAAGGAAAGAACTTTCAAACATTGCAGTATCGACCTCGGTAAGCCAACATGTTCATCAAGCTGTTTAAGTTAATCTTAGGAGTCAAGTCCATTACGCTAACTTGATCAACTTCATGGCAGTTGACCGGTTGGCTCTAATTATTTCCTTTTTGATTAAGTTTGTCTGACAATAACATACGGCTGTAGATCAGCGAGTCCTGATCTACAGCTGTATGTTGACTAGACAGCCGAGACTACTGTAAAGTCAAAGAGTTGTATTCAAAACCATCGTAATGTTTGTCAGTGAAAAAATGATCGCACAGAGAACATTAGCGTGAGCGGTTGTAAAAAATGAAAATTATGTAGGACCGTCAGCCACATCAGCTGAGATAAACTGAGATGACACTACTTGCCGAATACTCCCAGAATTTGGTTACCTCATTTACTACACATTTTCATCAATCCTTCACGGTAGGTAAGTTTTGATGCACCTCAATGGATATAGGACATGACGTGGGGCTTATAAGCAAGCTGGATACGTTTTTGACACAAAAAGCAAAGGGGATATCGTTTTTGTGGATGAAAAATTCGTAAAACTTTGGGTAAGTCAAAGGGGGCTTGGTTTTTTTTTACATTTTCGAAAAGCTACCTCGTGCTGAGTCTTGATATACCGACATTCTTCATAAGCAGTGCATGATTAAATTGGTTTCACGCACTGACTCCGAAGCTAAGCTTAAGGTTGACACCCTTGAATTGTATTGACATTTTGACACCTTTGAAAAATTTTAATCTACTAAATTGGGGTGGGGCCGGAGTCTTCAAACATCTATAGAATTCGATTCTTAAACATCGTCGTTCAATACATTTAAGCAGCATTGTAAGTACTTTCGAGTAGCTCTTGATGAACAAATCAGTGTAGGCTTGTCACAACATACAGGTTGATCAAGAGAAGCGCTCAAAACGGAATGCTTTTAGTATGGCTGAAGTGATCGAATTTCTGTATCAAATCTTATGATGTACGAGTTTCTTTTCTTTTTTCAAAATCTGATTTTCATTATCAGATCTAAAATGTATGATCAGCTGTAATGATTAGCAAGATGTACATAGTTAGCACTGAGCTAATTTCGCTACACAAAGCTAAACGATTTGATTACAACTTAGTTTTGATTATATATTGATGACTTACTCTTCGCACTTGAGAGGGTTATTGTTAGTGCTGCGTTGATTGTAAATACCAGGAGGCATAGTAGGCTCCTGTCATGAAATAAACAGAGAGTTTTTTCTTTACGAAAAATAAATTAGGGCGGGCTATCACTAGCCGCTCTTCTTCTCTAGCACTTGGGTCTAACATTAAAAGCCTGTTAAGTTGTTCATTAAAATCGCAATTCGAATTCTTCACTAATTCCTACAAATTTTGGAACGCAATTCTGATGCTGATGATAATTATTAGTCATATATGTGTAACAAATATCCAGTAGAAAAGACGATAAAGATTGCAAGGTAGAACGATAAAGAATTGATTGTATTTGTACAATGCTTCCGAAGCGGTCCTGAAAAGCATCGGACAAATGCAATCTCAGAGAAGCGCCTATTACTTTGCATTACAATATGAGATTTTCGGGTGTGATGCAACGTAATATTACGGCTCAATAAATCCCATAAGATTATTACTCACTTTTTAAAGCAAATGTTTAAAGTGCAAGAAAGAATGGTTCTTTCTTGGGTTTTGTTGCACACACGTGCAAAATGTGTTAGCCTTCAAAAGTGCACGATCGCAGTCAAAGTTTGGCTCTCCCATTTTTTAAATCTAACAAGGGAGGTCTACTTGGTCGAAGCGGCCATTTCAGATTGATACGAATAAAGGGCATCGAACGCTGATCCTAAATCATTCTTCGTTACTGCCAAGCGCCTTTGAACGTCGAGTTATGAGCGCTTTTTTAAAGATGAAAAATTCAATGCATAAATAGAACAAGATTCGTGAGAATTGTTCAAATGATCCAAAATTAATTATCAAAGCACACCGTTTGAAAAATAGTTTCTGTCCAAAACA